GGAAAATCTAAATTTATCTAAAATAGTAACGTGCCGTTTAAGTCCATTACGATTATGTTGTTCCGCTGTAGTCAACCGTTTTGCATATATCACTAAAACTTATCAATTAACATATTGCTATGTAGTAATGGATGGTCACATCAGAGTTACAGACCAATCTATTAAAGATGAATGGTTGTATTCTTTCTTTCCATTTGATACTTATGTCCTTCCAAGGTGAGTACTTTTTAACTTTCATTTGAAGTTGAATCAATTTTTAAATAATTTTTTTATATTTATGTTTAAAAAATTGTTGATGATGTATTAAAATTTTTATTTTTAGATCAAATAACCTGATTATTCCTCATTTGTATAGAAACATTGATAATATATATAGTCCCAGATATTTGGAAGTATGATATTGTCTCTTTCTCCAGCAAAAATTGATTGGCTAGGAAAATTTGCTAATGAAATTAATAAACCATCATTTTATTAATTATTTATGATATGTTTCTAATAAATAAAATAAATTTGTAAACTGCTTATTTATATAGATTTTTATAATTTTATTATTAGGTGATTTATGTTTGTAAACAATGAATTATGAATGATTACAGTTAATGAAACTCTGAATCAGTGTTTTTAAAAATCATTGAAATTTGAATTGTTTGTATTTTTTTTTAAATGAACTGAAATTTGCTACCTTATTCAGTTTATAAATAAATAATGGATTTCGATAAAAAAAATGCTACTAAGATTTATCTACAAAATTTTTAAATTTGTCAACATATAGTAACTGACTATTTTAAACATAATAATTAATGAAATGTAATAATGTAATTGAATTTATTATTAATTTATTTATCCACAAATAAAATATTATTTGTTTATTATTTATATTAACATTTCAATTATAAAAAATAAATAGAATCTGATGTACACTATTTTCATTATATAATTATTGCTCAGTCTCAATTTTTTGAGAAAATAAATTATTTATATTCACATAAATATTGATTGATTTATTGTTTGTAGTTGAGTTTCTAATTAAATACAACTGATGATTACATAGTTACTGTGTTGTAAAATAGTAATTATAAATAATTTTTTCCATTGAAAATAACATTATTGTATTGTTTAGAATTTAATCTATCCATGAATCATTTATAGCGGTATTTGTTTTAAAAACACAATTTGGTCTTATTGAAGAGTATATTGTTAATATTTTAGATAATACCATGTGAAAACCATTGATTGGGTGAAAAAATGATTAGTTGTGGTCTCTGTCAATTATACATGAACCTGATAAATTATACCGACGATTGGTTGTCTTTGGTGAACACACGATCAATATGAATTCGAAAATCTTCGATGTGAACAGTCCGTTTACACGTACGAGTAAAAGGCAATAGAATTTATTTAATTGTGTACCATAAAATCAACCATTTGGCGGGCGGTCGTAGAAGACGGACTAGATGGCGCCACGCATACGTGACATAATGATAACCGTGTTTTTCATTATCGATTATTTACTAGTTGTTTACAGTCGCGTTATCCGGCACCGGAACATTGTATGAAGACGCGTAGCTCTCGTTGGCCATCTTACTATTCTTGTTTATCTCAGAACTTCGCTCCGTAAGTCGTTGCCGCAGCCAGCGTTCCTAATTCCTGGCTGTCCGCCGTTCGAGTACCACAACAGCGGTTTACCAGTGTGCCGACCGTGTGTAGTATGATGTCTCGGTCAGTGCGTGCGGAGACCAGGAGCAGGGCCAAAGATGACATCAAGAGAGTCATGCAAGTCGTGGACAAGGTCCGCCGATGGTGAGTACCAATATTTCTACGTTGTCAGCGAATGAATGTCCCTTGTTTGTGTACTGCCTACCCTGTCCAACCTAGGGTTTGTTCTGTAGCTGTTCAATACCAATCAGGACCACTTTTGTTTGCTTTCTCTGATATTCGTCGCAATCGCTTTTGATGCTCATTCTTAGACTTGCCTGAAATCCGATTAAAAGTACCCCAGTTTAAATATATCTGTGAGACTTGAATAATTAATGAATTAGCTTACTGCACCTTAGCATTACTTAACATAACACCAGACCCTTTCAAAAGTCTCCCTATTTAAACAAATTGCTAAACATTTCAACACTTAAATTTACCACCTTGAAGAATTATTTTCTAAATGTCTTTAGTTATTACATTTGATGTCAACTAATCATCTTCCTCTTACTTCGTAGCAGATTATTGCCTGCAGGGTATAAGTTAATTTGTGATATATTTAAGCTAACGTAACTTGAGGCCCAAAGAAATATTTCTAGAAGGCCTAGATGGATATGGTCTGCCATATAACCTGTCCTAACCCTACCAAACCTGTCCTTGCTTTTACCTCTTGCTGCTTAAAATTTATTTGTAATTTTTGTGTGCAAAATTTCATGAATTGTCCACTGGTATTCCTGATTCTTTCTAAAATACAATCTTATTGTAATAGGTTTTATATGTACCAATTTTATATTTCATCAAATATCAACACAAAATATGTACTTTTATTACAGTCTTCATCTCCCTTGCCTTTCTCTCAACTATTTCAAATTGACCTCTTTTGTCCTAAATCTCTACTCATCTAAATTTTCTACATTCTCCAAACCTAAACATCTATTTTTTGGTCTACTTCTTCCTCTTTTCCCTTCAATATTAATTTTCATAACCTCTCTTTTTTTCTTTTTTTTTTTTTTTTAATTAATACTAGTTATTAACAATCTGTTAATTAAAACAATGAGTAAATTTGTTAGCTAGAAAATATAAAAATAAATACACTTGAATGACTTAAGGAGGGAGCCATTCACTAATGACACCTCAGAATTTTACCATAAGATTATTAGCGTTTTTTTTTTTCGTTTAAAATTAGTAAATCTCTTTGCCAATTACGTTTTAGACTTCGCTGAACATTACCAGGAAGGGAGAAAGAAGAAATATTTTTGTTGAGGAATTTGGGATGGTTCAATAATTTTGTGTGGAATCTTTTATAATATATTTTAGTTCTGTGACTGTGAGATTTTGGAGGTCTTTATGAAAAGATTTGTTGGTAACAAACCAAGAGGCTCCCGTTAGCATTCTTAGACAAATAGATTGGAAAGCTTGGAGTGGGCGTATAATTGAAGGTTTTGCGGAACCCCAAATTTGAATCCTATAAGACCAGAAGGGTCTAATTTTAGCTTTATAAATTAAAGTTTTATATTTGAGACACATTTTGGATTTTAGGGGAGTTTTTAGAAGGTGAAGATGAGAGTTAGCTTGTTTACATTTTGATTTTATATGGGGAGCCCAAGTGAGGTGTTTATCAAGGATGATACCCAAATATTTTGTTGAGGAATGAATTGGGATCAGTTTTTTTCATTAATTAATAAATAATAAAAAAATTAAATTGAATAATAAAAATATATATTTTATTATATATTATATGAATCATTTTTAAATATGTCTTAAAATTGAAATTTTAATGTTTCATTTTAGGATATTGTAAACAGATTAATCTTATATTTATTACATTATTTTTAATATTAATCCAGTTATATTTATTTTAAATACTAATTGTAAATTACAAATGATTTACAATTAAGCTGTTATATTTAGTTTTATAAAAATACTATCGACTTTTTCATGTTTTTTATGGATATAATCACAATTTTCCTTAATTAAAACACTAACACAATTTGAATACTGATCTTACAAAATTAATTGAATATATTTTTATTTGTGTTAAAAATTAATTCAATTTAAGTAATTTTAATTAAGTTTAGGATACTGTCCATTTTGAGAATTTTACTCAATAAATTGAAAATATTATGTTTGCCTTTTGTTTATGGTTGTATCAAAGTTCATTATTATCAATTTCAGAAAAAAAAGTAAAGTCTTTCATACTGTTTATTTACAATGCAAAATTAAGTGCTGATATTTAAATACATTTTAGAACTAATACAATTTTTCTTAATCATCTATTTACATACTACATTCTTTTATATTGTAAAATTGTAAACTAATTTTAATATTAATATAAAATCTATTATGAACAACTATTATCATGAATTCTAAGAACAGTTGAGTTCCGTAGTAAAATAATTAGAGATTCTATATGAAATATATTTACATGTTTTAGGGAGAAGAAATGGGTAACAATTGGAGAGACTACAATGAAAATATACAAATGGGTCCCTATAATCTCCAATGATCAGGTTAGTATTATTAAATAATATTATACTTTACAAATTATAGTACTTAAAGAAGTGGGTAATTTTTCTTATTGATATTAACTTATTGGAAAGTATGTGATAATTTTTTTTTATTATCAATTGATGTACAGTAAATATTTTATGTCTTAAAAGTGTACGAGACTCAATTATCTTTTGATATCAATTCTACTTTAAAACTGCTTTAACTTACTAAATATAACATAACAGAACTTCTAGCTATAGAAATTAAAAAACAATTTGGCCAGTTATAAATGTATAAAGAAAATGTTTTTACATTTTTATTTTGTACTTAAATTAAAAGTACTAACTTATTTGTAGTCTGATCAGAAATCAATTTCATGAGTCTTATAACTATGCGAGCTTAAAATTTTAATTTTTTCTTAATATAATTATTTCATGTTGCAGCAGAAAAAGAAATCTAAAGAACATTCACATGCAAACAAAGAGAACATATTGGGCAAAAGACCTTCAGAACCAACTCATTCTAACTTTACAATTGCTGATGACTCAAATACATGTATGTACATATACATACAGTTAATAAGTATACAATTAGTATACAATAAATCATTATGAATTTTTTAATTATAAATAAATGACTAAAAAATACACAGGTAAATTATAAATAAATGATTTACCTATGTATGTTGCAGCATTTTCAGTCAGTGATTCCCACTCACAAGAGCCAACAGAATTTGCAGCCCAATTGGGTTTTTCTGAAGACTCAAATTCACAGAGTAGTGAACCACCACCAGCCAAACAAATAAAAACTGAATGATTTTTCCTTTTTGACTAACCCTCTTATTATTTTTTTTAATTTGACTGTCTTTTGTAACATTTTCCCTGTAAAAAAACGCATTATTACCTACCTCTGTATGTTTTTGTTATTATTGTTCGAAAATGTTTTGATTGTGTTTCTACTGAACAACTTTTTACATATATATATGCGCCTCGACCTTTTTCCCGCCGTTGATGAGCATTCATTCATTCCTTCATGTTGAATTTTTTTGAAGTAGAAGCGTGAAACATATTTGTAAATATTTTACTTTTAAGTTGCTATTTTTTATTTAAATCTAATTTATTCATACTTTAGTATAAAAATCAATTTGATGTATAACAAATAAAATTGAAATTTAATATTGATTGTATGATAAATAGTATTTTCAAATCTTTACTATTATTTTTTTTGAGGTGAATACTTAATACAAACGAGTAGATAATATTTAGGGTATTAAAATTATTTGTATAATACGAACAATTTTTCTATTAAAAGTATTAAATTTCCTACTAAAAAATGTGAGTGTTAGATAATATATAAATTTATTAAAACTTCTTCCAATGAAAGATGATTGATGAATTCAAATGAAGAACTGTAAAATTTAACTCTGAATTATTAATAAACTGGAGGACTCAGAAGACAAATTTTGTAAATGGGGCACTATAATTTAAATTTGAGATTAAAGGAACCTTATTTTAACTGTAATTGCTTAGATTAAATGTAATTTATTCTAACATATTTGATAAAAAATAAATTTTCTAAATTTTCATGGAAAAAATTATAAAATAACAGCTAAAATCATAAATAATTAAAGTTAAGTGAGAATAATGTACGAAATTCAAGGAAAATATATTAATTTAAACTAATATACCACAATATTATATAAAAAATGTAAGTTATGTTTTTTTAATTATTTATAAATTATAATTTATTAAATATAATTGAGATAAAGTAATTGTAGACAGTGGCAATAAGTTTATATAATTATATGGTATTAATAAAGTGTATAATATAAGTTTATAACTATAGAAAGTGAAGTTAGGTGATGTTTCAACTTGCAAGTATAATTTTTTTACCTGAGGATCAATGAATATAAAAGTTTATCTCAATTTAATTATACTTAAAACAAGTACACTGAATACATAATAAATTCACTTAGAGAACCATTAAAAAGTGTTTCTATTTATGTATGAAATAGATTTAACAAAAAGATAACTTTTTTGGGACATTGGGACTATTTTGCCTTGGGCTAAAACTTTTGGTGGCCACAACATCCATTTTTTTTTGGATAACCCCATAGTGGTTTTCCACTGTATAGGTCCCATGCGTAGTTGCTCCTGGCCCCACTAAACTTTACGGTGGGCCTGTAATAGGGTTAGACCATAAATTAATACTCTGTGGGTTAGACCTAGTGGTGCATACACAATTATTACACAGCTAATGCCTATTGCCTATTTATTACTTAGCATAGTACTTTTCCAGTAATACAATTATACAATTATTTACTACTAAATATAGTACATACATTGATCATCAATCTACTTGATGTCGTCACGGTGATAGAGCTGAGGCATCAATAAGAAGTTGTGACGGAGCGTAAGAAACGGCCCTTCCACATAAAGATAAAAAGAAACGAAATGGTAATATAAAATAACATCTATGATATTACAAACTACATGTAGAAGGTACTATACGAACAGTGGCATAGCCTGGAATTATCCAAGGGGGGTTTATGTTTTTGTACATCACTACAACACATTGTCCCGGTGTGGTAAAACTGTAAATGGTCCACTGAGTTGTACGCAAATTGAATAATATATCTTTAATTAGACGAAAAATGATACTCATTTGTAAATGTTATTATTATTTATAACTGTTGTACAGAGTACACATATATTGACTTAATATAGATACACAGGTAAAAGTATAAAAAAAAATTCTTTATTAAATTGTAATATAAGTATAAGTATAAATTAAAAGTATTTATATAATATTAGCATTTACATTCTAAGTTAGGTATAATATATAAATTATAGCAATCTTATTTTTCTTGTGATTTTAACAGTCGTCAAAAACTTCATCTGTAGTTAAAACTATTTTACGATGAATATTTAGTAATGCTAAACTATTTAGTCGATTTTCTCCAATAGTATTTCTGAGGTATGTTCTAAGTCTTTTTAAGGTAGAAAATAACCTTTCACTGCTTGCTGTAGTTACGGAAGTGTAGCTAGTATTTGCAGAAGTTTATAAATCAATGGAAAAATGAGTGATTTAGGTACATATTATAAGAGCTTCCAATGAATTTTTTGATTTTTCTGCTCCAACAAACTTTTGTGTCCATGTTAATACTTCTCTAATAATTGAATTAGGACCACATTTTAAATTTTCACAATACTTTTTTGCCAAACTTTTAATGTTTTCTTCTTTGTTTGGCAAGAGACACCAAAAACTGGCGATCAGATATTTATGTTCAATGAACCTATCATAAAGTTGTCTAACAAAGTTATCTAAAAATGGAATGAACAATGATATTTTATAGTAATCGTATGGGCAGGTAGTTTTTACATTAATACGATTTTTCTGTATGTTTGTAACACGAGGTAAAGTTTTTTTTTTTTTTAAATATTTTGTTTTATTTGGTACGAAATATACAACTATGCAAAATGTTGCACAAGTAATAACAATATAAGTGGTTTACACACCATGAAAAGAGCATGATATAGGAGGGTTCCCAATGAAGCTACCTACTTAAGGGATTTTTTTTTTTTTTGTAGGAGAAATAGTTTTATTGAAGGAGGTCTCGGATCTATTTACGCTTAAGTCTTCGTGGGGGATTATCGGGGATGTGGGACGAAGCTAGGCGTCTTATGTTGGGGTTAGTATGTGTACTAAATTTGTTGTGTAGTTTGAAGTAGGCAGTTTTTGTAACTTGGTTTACATATTTAAAGGTCGGAGTGTAAGGTTTTGTTACTAACAAACCAGGGAGAATTTGTAATAGTGCGTAAGCATATAGATTGAAATGATTGGATTTTTTGTATATTACTTGGAGCGGCATTACCCCAAATTTGTATACCATAATACCATAAAGGAAAGATTAGCGCTTTGTAAATAAGGATTTTTAGTTTCCTGATTAATATTGATCGTAGGAGAGGACGTAGTAGATATAATCTGGTATTTAGTTTCTTTCTTTAATCGGATATGTGATCTTCCCAGCTTAATCTATTGTCAAAAATGAGCCCTAAGTATTTAACATGATTGCAAACCATGGTTTGTGGTAATATTTTATTGTAAAGTTTGACTGGTGGACATTTGTTTGGGCGAAGGGAGAAAGTAGTGTGGCTAGATTTGTTTGTATTAATTTTTATTTTACAAAGTATGAACCAATTTTGAAGTATATTGAGGTTATGTTGGAGTTTGAAACATGCAACTAGGGGGTCAGGATTGGAGACTAAGATATTAGTATCGTCGGCATAAGTGTTGATGATAGTAAAAGAAGATGTGGGTATATCTGCAGTGTAAATTGAATATAAAAGGGGAGAGAGGTCACTGCATTGTGGTACACCTGCGTTTATACTAAATTGGTTTGAAATTGAATTATTTATATTTATTTGGAAAGTTTGTTTTTAGTTTGTGGAGAAGTCCATCATGCCATACTTTGTCAAAAGCTTGGGCGACGTCAAGGAAGATACCTGAGCAGTATATTTTTTTTGTTCGAACAAGGATGAAATGGCATCGGTTAGACGGTGTAGAGGGTGAATAGTAGAGTGATTTGCTCGGAAGCCAAACTGGGAGTTGGGAGTTTGAGGTTGGAGCGATTGTATTTTCTATGAGTTGCATTTCGGTTTCGTTTATTTTTCCATTGTCGGCAAGGACTGAGAATCGATTTCGGTTCGAAAAGGAATTTGTTTTTTGAATTTTTGGTTTGGGGAATTTGGTGATATGGGCGGTACAGTTTTTCAACTATTTATCAATAACTGTCATTGTTTTTAATAATTTTAATTGATTTGACTGGAATGTTAGTGTTGTTTTTGATATTATGTTGATGGCTGGGAGATAGTGGTGGTTTATTGGTTAAACTCATTGTTCTGGTTGAATTTTTGGTTTTTAATTAGATTGGTGGGTATATTAGGATAATTAAAATAATCATATTTTTTGGAAATAGAGACGATTTTGATTAGCTTAATGACTAAGATACGGCAGGTCGATGTTGCACTCATAGATAAGTATATACATCGAAATATGCAAAAAAATGCAAAATAAAATTTGTAGCTCTGAAACCCATGAAACTCATGAAACGAATTATGTTCTTAGAAAACATTGTATAAGATCAATCAAAAAAATATGCACTTTGCATTAAAATTCGGGCCCTAATAATAATATATAGCAGTGGCGTAATTAGGAATTTGGTTTGGGGAGGGATTATAGGTTTTAGCAAAATCTGTACAACCTGTACACCCAAAAAAGTTTTGGAGGGGCCCATCCCCCTAATCCCGCCACTGATGTATAGTAATATACAGATAATATTCTTATAATCTATGTTACAACTTTTTTCTGCATTCTAAAATCGGGATGAGGGTAGTTATTTCCCTTAAAAAGAATTATAGCTGATAAAAAGCATTTTTGATTAGAGTTCTAACCTCAAAAAAAAAATTTAACTAATACCAACTATCAAAAATAAGAATCTGTATCATTGAGAATTTTGCGTTTGTGAATTTATCACACTGCTTTAAATACATTATTTTATTGTAATTTATGTATTCGACCATTGAATCACCGATTTTTTTTTTTAAATTTGCTTCATTTACGGACTTCGGTATTAATAGTAGGTCGTATGTAGTAGAGATGATACAAATATTACTGTAACTTGTATCTAGGGTGACCAGATGTGTCTGATAAAAAAAGAGGACATTTTTACAAATAAATTTTCCTTTATTTAAATTAATACCTACCTATATGGATACACAAACACTACTGGTATTATACAACCGTTAATGTATTTTAAGGATACTCTAAAATTATTGACAATAAACAAACATACTTGTATGATGTATTTAATACAATTACACTTAGTTGGCTAATTGAAGTACAATATAC